TGTAAGTACTAGCAGCTACTAGCATCCCATGTTTATAGACGTTCATCCGTGACTGGAATCCCGGAGACCCATCTCAAATGACCATCCTGACAGTGTGAAGTCACATCGGGCCAATTGGCACACGGTCAAACCGTTAATACGCTGCTGGAAAGCTGACAGCCACCAGATGTCACCAGGATATGCCAGGAAGGTTTTCTGGCCATGTGGATTTCTGACATAGCCTGAAATCACTAAGGAAGATTTCCAACCAAAATCACCATGACTTGCCTGCTTGTCTATAGAGTCTATACCTTCACCAAAAATTCGCGAAACCCAAGGCTGCGACGACGACGACGACGACGACGACGACGACGACATCATCATCATCATCATCATCATCATCACCACCACCATCATCATCATCATCATCACCACCTCGCCATACTCAATCTTTGCTCGGCGGCTACAGCGGCCGGGTCGAAGCCCATCTGCATCAACGCTGCCTTCTTGTCTTCAAGGGCTTCTTCCACTTCACCTTCCAAATGACTGTTAAAGTTATCTTCCACACAAAGTTCTTCATGAAGACATCCGCCAACATACCGCGAGATAATTACCCATGGTCATGGTACTACCCATGCAGAATGGAAGTCCCGAGTGGTGATGGTGTAACCTAACGAGGCTCAAGAAGATGCCCAAACCAAAACAAACATACAAAATGCTCATGGAATGACCTTTGAATGTATGATCAAAAGTTCCCCGCCGCAGCTGAGCAAGGAGACGAGAAGACAAAGGTGTGCATGAATGCAATTCAAACAATTGTTGTACGAACGGCAAACAAGGGCTGTGCTGGTGTTTTGGTGCTATTCTTTGGTGTTTGAGGAATCTAATGATGCAGTGGGATAGGATATGATAGGATTGCAACGTTTGCATCAGGAGAAAGCCTTCCAAGCAGAACAAGCAGAATCGTAGATTCAAGTACATTCTGACTCCCTGAGTCTTGCTTAAGATGTTGGGACTGCTTGTTTTGCTGTGGTTTCTTCAGAAAGCACAACAGCTGGGGCCTTCGTCTTCGAAGATGGAGCCGCTGCCCTCGCTTTCCAGGTCATCTGCTCGGATTCTGGCCATCAGCGCCATAAGAAGACAGCCCTTCTGCACAACAAAGCTCAGAGAGCTGGTGATGGCGTGCTGCTTGATGTCCTTTTGTCCTTGTCGCTGTGAAATTGGACAAAAGGATCAAAAAAGACATCCTTAGAGCGATGGCCTCCACCCTAGTAGCGATGGCCTCCAACCTAAAAGCGATGGCCTCCAACCTAAAAGCGATGGCCTCCAACCTAAAAGCGATGGCCTACAAATCGCGGATTCTCAGGTTCTTTGTTGGGAAAGTGTTGATGCTCCCTTTCTGTTAGGAGCTTGTCGGAGGATTGCCGGATTCTATCGCGCAAAGCTGGTGGCTGAATGCATGGTCTTTGTTCAGCTGTGGCTGTTTGTGCACAGTTCCCCTGTTCGCATAGCAGCCCGGGCTCATGAAACAGCTGCAGATCAAAATGGGCAATGACTTGACCTATATAATTCTAGTTTCAGATACAAAAGAGCCAGTTCCATGCTGTTCATCGAGTGATGACGGAACTCTGAATATCTCTGAATCACGTGGTTGGAAAACCAGCTCTGAAAATTGCGCTCCAACATGCTCCAACGATTCACTGGCAGCCTCACGTGGTTCACGTGATTCGTATGATATCAAACTCGGTGCCTACACAAACATGCCTTTTGCATCCTTTTGCAATCGTTTTGAGTTGGAGATAGCAGTTTCAGTGCAGCAACAGCGATGACATGGGAGTGGGGCGCTCCTCGCACGACACAACAGTGTTTCTGGCGCTGCCGTCCGACATCAGCCCTGCCAAACCCATTCGCCTCTTTAACGATCCCTTTGCTCCTAGTAGTAAGGCCAGGAGCCCCTAGTAGCGTTCTTGCTCCTAGTAGCGATGTCCTTTGCTCCTAGTAGCCTCTTTAGCCCATATCAGCCCTTCCTCCCCCAAAGGACCCGGACCTGGCTGTTCTGCTTGCTCACAGCCTTGTAGACCTCTGTCAGGGTAAGAGGAGTTGAAAGGTGAAACGAGAAGATCAGGTGCCGCTTTTATGCTGGAACAGGAAAACAACAGCTACACCAGGGCTCCAGGTTTCAAAAGGGGACCAACCCATAACCCATAAGATTTCGAAGTTCTTGTCAAAAGCCTGGGTTTGGGAGCAAATCGGGATCATTGTTAATCCAGCAACCATTTGATACAACACCCCGCCGAGTCGCGCACTCAATCTGCCGACCCTTCCGGTCGTGTGAACGGCTTTCGCCGCCGGCCCCGGGCCTTCCCATAGGTCCCTTCACCAAGAACCTTGGGCTCAGTGACCTAGCGCGTCGCGTCAACGATGCAGCAAACGTACTCGGGAGCGTGCCAGGCTACAGAAACAACACTCTCGTTACTAGTAGCTGTAGCTTCTTGTTCCTCAGTAGCGATGGCCTCCAACCTAATAGCGATGGCCTCAACCTAGTAGCTTCCAGCTACCACTTGGAAGAATCTAAACGTGTTTTCATGGATTCTCTGGATGATTCTTCTCGCACCATCACCGGTGATTGTTCGCTTCAGAATGTTGTTTCGAAGCGTCAATTCTGAAAGGAAGCACCGCCAAGCCGCCAAGGCTGTCTAAAGTGACTTCTCAACCGATCTCTAGGAGCAATCAACCGAGAAGGATCGAGAAGGGCCATTGGGGGTAGCGACCCCACAAGAATGGATTCGGGACAAACCCCCAGTGGTGTTCCAAAGCAGGCATTCAGATCTGCAAATGCTATCCCGGCATATTCCAGCGGCAAAATCAACTCTCCCAGCTGGTGCAGGAAGTCAATTGCACACCCGTCTCTGGCCGTTTCCATGTCTCTTTCTAATATCCTCATTACACCCAGAGTACAAAAAGACCACCACTCTTTTGAATCTATAGCCTTCATTCTGTTCACATCCTCCCACCATAACCCCGCCAGAACAAGAGCGCCTTTCCAACTGCATCACTTGATGACCGCAACAAAAATGTCCTGACTGCCCCAGCTGCTGCTGCACTCTGACCTCGTACTTCTGCTCAAACTTCCGCTCCAAGAAATCGAAATCATCACTGTCTAACATGGCACCTGGGCGTCAAGGACACGGAAACTGAGAAGACTCAAGCTATTGCCGGTGAACATCCAACGCACATGAAAATGATCTACTGTACCGTCGTGGTTTTTCAAGAATCAAACACCAGAACAACATATCAACCTGGTTGGTGGTTTCAACTGAATCGAAAAGTATTAGTCCATGGGCTCAATCTTCTCAAGTAAAGGTTGAAACATGTTGAAAATATCGAAACCACCACCCAGAGAGGTCGTGAGTCGCTTGCCCCTTCCTGAATCCATCAAGGAGCTTTCTGGAAAGGCACACCCCCGGGGTGGCGCCCGAGGTGGGGCCATGCCCACGGTGGCCCCATTGGGTGGATCTGATTTGAGAGATCCTGGTTACTAGTAGTAAGGCCAGGAGCGCCTAGTAGCTTCTTGTTACTACTAGTAAGGCACTTGTTCCTAGTAGCGATGCACTTGTTCCTAATAGCTTCTTGTTACTAGTCTTCCTTTTGGGGGTGTTCGTCTCTTGGAGATCTGCCCCCTACTACTGCCATCTACTGCTTCACGGTCCGTTTCCGTAATCGAATATTCGCTCATTGACGTGCAAGGAGATCTCGGGATCAACACCAAGAAAAGGTGTCATCATGTTTCATCAGTTTCATCTAGACTGGGCCTTCTATCTTCACCGTGTTGACTGCCTGAGCCAGAATTTTGCCTCAATATGCTTCACTTGTGAAGCCTTTCTGATCGTTCATTGTTTGGTAACTCTAGCGTCGACAAACCTGGCCTAGGCCGTCGGCCGGGCGCCCGCTCTGCGCGTCCCGGAGAAAAAATCACGTCGCGACGGCTGCAGCAGGCGATGCAGTCTTTAACGGGCATCAACAGCCAAGTCAGATTGGGCGATTCAACGGGCATGTATGAGCATGTCATACATTTCAGCCACGTTGAAATGTCAAAACAAAAGCAGTGGTCTTGGGAGACCATATGATCTATGATCTATGACAAGACATACAGGCAGAAACACATCATAGGAAAAGCTTGATCAATGACCATGATCCCTCTAGCCACTAGCCTCTACTCATGTCTAATCACCAAAGATATCGGTCAAGCGTTCTACTAAATCGGCGTGCACGAACTGTAACTGGCATGTAATCTCTTCAAGTATGGCATTTGAACAGTTAGTCAGGCAAATGACCCTTCCTACGTCTCAGCTCTACACATCTCTGTTTCACATATCTGACTCCGCCAAATACGTCGTGTAGATAGACCGCTTTTGGACATCCATCGCTGTAGGCAGAAAGCTGCTGCTGTGAACAGAAAGCTGCTGCAACTCCGGTCCTCTTCCTGGTGATCTGAGAGATCTTACTGGCACTTCGTTTGGTTGTTCCCGGGAAACCTCAACCGCTCTGAATAATCTCTTCTCGGGGAGGCTTCTCTGACGTAGCCTGTCGCGTTCTCTGAGCGTGAGGCCAGAAAAGGGGAGGCAAAGCGACAAGGCCAACAGAAGGATGCAAAATGCTCAACGATGCTCGCGTTTCAGAGGATGTAGATATGGATATCGCCAATGCCAATGGCATTCCGATCAAGTAATTTATCATCAAGAGCATCGGATTTTAATTTTCGTTTGTTTGGAACAACACCAATTGGCATCCCTCTGGCGCTCCTGATGGAAGCAACCCTAATAGAATCATAGAAATCAACAACTACTACTACATCTATATAGATACATCTAGTTACTAGTAGTTACCAGTTGAATCCATCGGATTGCATTGTTGGTCGCACTTGGATAGTCTGCTGCTTGTTCGCCTTTTCAGGCAGCTAGAGCGAGCAGGGTGGCCGGTGAGTCACCCCCCACACCTGAAATGCCAGCTTACCTGAAAGGGACCACTTCTTCCATCTTCTTCCCAGTTCTCCGGAGCCGGAGTTGCTTCGGACACGCCGAGGAGTCGGGCGTGGAAGACTCACGAACCGCATGGCGGAGGATGCGAAAAACGCCTGGGCTGGCGAAGGAGCGCCGTTTGGAGCTGTTGGGTGCTGTTGGGTAGATGATCATGGGACATCTTTACTATCAATACATGGGAGATGATGGATGGATTCTGAGCAGCATATCATGACAATCCTCAATCCTCTCGGACCCTCGCCTACCAACCCCAGACATCGACTTCAGGGTGGCACCAATGGACCAAAGGAGCAGCGGTGACTCTATTCAGAAAGTAGAGTGATTTTGGGAGGGCGCTTCATACATCTGGCGGTTGCAGGCGGCGGCTGCTCCGCTTGGCTGCCCCACCTGTCATTTCTCTGGTCGACTGTCCTCCTGCATCAAAAGACGCAAACCAAGGCCCAACTCCTAAAATGTCCTTTTGCTGAAAAATGCTTCGATCCGATTCAGAACCTATCGGCCCTTGAGGTGGCCCTGCTTTGGTCCAAAACCGTTTTGGTCCCGAGAAAAGATAAGAAACGAGTTGATGGCTTCGCTCTTGTCAGTCCTGCTTGACAGCAACTTCCCCTTGCCGTCAGGTGAAGCACGGGGTTTGAGGACTCGATCAGACATGATGCTGATTGATTGAGCATTTGAAGATGGAAAGCTTCACGCGATACCAAGTAGAAGTACCCACAAACACGGAGCTTGTCTTTTGATTCCAAGGATCGCATGAAAGAAAACAACAGGAAACTCAGCAAAAACTGCAGGGAAATTGGAAAGAGCAGTTTTGCGGTTTTGCCGACAACTTGTGCTGTCATGAGCAGGGGCCATGCTTGTGGGTTTGCAGCGCACCTTTGTCTTCATGGAGCAAATCCTATACATGAGTTTGGAACCAACATGAGGCAAGCAAATCCCCATTCTAGAGTCGATTTACCGCTGATGGACATGACTTAGTCTACGGGATATGACATGACTGCAAGCCAAACACGGATTCCTCCATGCAGGCCTGATGGTTTAGCTTACCTTGCAAGGGCAGGGAATGCTAAGGCTGCTTTCATCTCCAAAACCTGGTTCCCTCAACTGGCCACTGCTTCGAGGGGAATGAGTCCAGTCAGAATGAGGGAATACAGTAATTCGACAAAAAGTGTGGAATTCACCTCAGACTCATTTCTGAAAGCTTGAATCCTGAGCAAGGTGCCCTTGGCTTTCTTGTATTGTAGGTGAAGGAAGGATCTAAAGAAAGTGCTACTTTACCTCGTGATTGCAAAAGGAACCCTATCATACAGGAGCATCTTGCTTTTATAAAGGATTCAAAAGGTGGCCGATCTAACATCTCCGAACATCGTTGCCTCCTCCGAGGGCCAACGTTGTCACCGTCGAAAACAGCAAACCAAACCCGCCTGCAACCCGCTTGGGCTCCTCAGGGCCTTTCAAAGCTTTGAGTACCTCGTCCGCGTGTCGGCGCAAAAAGAATAAAGTCGAAAACGGGATGAAGAGGCCATTGAAGGAAGCATTAAGATGTGTTTAGAGAGTTTTAAGTGTCTTTTGATGTCTTTTGCCTGAAACCTTCTTCTGCTTCGTTGACTCCTCTGGGATGCTTTGCTTTAGGAGCCAGTTCTGGGACTCGGTCAAAACGGGACGCACCGGCATTGCGGAGCAAAACTCTCTGAGCAACCGCATTGCCTCTCTGAGCAACTTGTTAGCAGCTTCTTGTTCCTAGTAGTAAGGCCAGGAGCCCCTAGTAGCGTCCGATCGCTCCTAGTAGCGATGCCCTTTGCTCCTAGTAGCTTCTTGTTAGTAGTAATGGCCTCCAACCTACTTGCGATGGCCTGGAATTTAGTATATAGTGATGGTCTCCAACCTAATTATCTTGTTACTAGTAGCGATCAAAAATATCAAAAGACATCCTAAATAGCTTCTTGTTGCTACAGGCGAAACGATTCCCAGTGAAACGATTCCCAAGGAAGCTACTTTGTAGATCTTTGTAGTTGGTTTTCGTCCTCTGCTCCACCCCCGTACACAAAGCAATCAACCTGAAGTCAGGTGTGTAAACGGGTAGCACCACCCCAGCCTCTGGGTTTTGCGGAGCGGTTTCTGGAGCGTTTGGGCTTTCCTGTCGGTGGGCAGAACCAACTTCAGGGCGGCGGAGAGTCAGAGTGGTCTGCGAAGTCCATCTTTGGTGTAGACGGTGTAGAGTCGCATGTGAGGTCACTGTAAACCAAAAAGGTAGACTTGACATGCGACTGTAAATGACAGAGGAAATTCATTCCCCTACAACAAGTAAAACATGTTGGACACGGATGGAAACGGGATCCAATCTTTTCAGAGAGCACTGCACTGTAGATCGATCTTCAGCAAAACAATCTTTGGTACTGTATCCTGGTATCCTTACTGGGGTCGAGGGTCTTGGCCTACACATCCAGCTGGACCAGCTCGATTGATCACATTACTACACCAAATGAGTCCGGCAACCACAGCACAACAGCGTGACAACAATAAGTACAAAGACCAGGGAAGAGGTGAACCTCCGTGGTGACACTGTCATCTGCTGAACTAGTAGAGTCGCGACGCCTTATTTTGCCATTGTATAGCCGACTGGTCCTACATCCTACGTCACTTCAATACAAACAATCAAATCCCGAGATGATCCAAATCAAAAGCGTGCGCCAATGACACACACACACAAACACAAAAACAATACATGGGAAAAATGGCCTGTGGCTGGGACCCTGGCCTCTGGCCGCCCTGCAGCAACAGGAGGCGTGACCTCCGTCTGTTGAGCCTGGTGGCAGAAGTATGGTATAGGGTGCTTGGATTTATGGGGGGGCGGTAGGATGTCTGCACAAAAATGTTTCCAACATACGGAGTTTGGAGCATGAATCTAATCAAATCCTGGATGTTATGGTTCAGATGCTTTCCGCGCCTAGGATGCACGAAAAAAAACAGTCTGCATGTCCACCAACGAATGCCCAAAGACCTTCTCTACTTTGCCATTGCGGTTGATTTTCAATATGGTATAACAAATCCAAACTGCTGAGAAAAGACTTTGTTGGCGCATGGGCAAATCATTGACTTTGAGTATTGTACTTGATTTCTAGTTGGGCAGGATTACACATGCACATGCCAATGTTCGACCGGTCCATTTCGGTCGATGGATGGAGACTCCGATGTCTCCATCGAAGGATCGACCCCATCCCCCCAGCGACGCCGGTCTGCGCCTGGCCCGCGGAATGTGCCTCCTCCACGTGTTCAGTCCTGAGGGCCCCAGGGCTGGCGACATGGATCACAACCAGCGCAATGACAAGGCCTTCCAATCTGGTCTCAAGGTTTCAAATTCATCCGTGGAGGCAGCACACCCAAAACAGAAACCCCTCTGATTCCTAAATAGCATATGGGGTTGGGTGAAACTTCCCGGATCAGCCCAACACGCCCTCCCATGAGCACTCAGCCCTCCCCCATGAGACTCCAACCCATGCGTCCGGGACAAAAGCACGACCCTTGTTGGGAAAATCATGAGCTCTGAGCTCACTTCCTTCTCCCGAATTCGGGGGGAAGAGAGTTCCGGGCGCCTCGACTTCTTTGGCTCTGGGCTACCTGCGGGCGAATAATGGACCAGTGAGCGGCCGCATCAAACATATGAGTCATTCTGTTTTGACCCGACACATGAACAGGCACATGAGTGATGGACTAAACATGACTATATAGATGCTAGTCATCCCCTTTGAATGGAGCCAGCACTCCTTTTATGAAGAGGTGACAGTTGTCAAGGCAAGGCCCAAAAGAAACCGCGGCCACTTGTGCACCTACTCAGGCACAAACTTCTCAGTTTGCAAGGCACCGCGTTCGTTTTCCAAGCCAGTCGGCTCGCATCTGGCACCGGTCAGCAGCGCCCACCCGGCGCCGTCTCGAGCCACCACACATGGCATTCCTCAACGGTTGACACTGTCGATCACACTGCGACCACCAGTCATCTCGATGTGGTAGTTGCCACATGGTGGTTGCAACCGCATTCCGATTCAAGCTCTCCAAGCTGTCCAATTAAATACTTGCAGTCAACGAACCTCAACAACATCCCCGTCAGGAATGCTCACCTTCACAGTCAACACATCGCTTTCGTGCCACGCTGTAATGCACGAGGGATCCCACCACTAAGACATGACCAAACGAGCTCGGAATTCGAGCTCAGCAAAAACATCATCACGTGTAAATTTACTGTTGGCATTTGAAGAGGGTGGTGTATTCTCGCTGCTCTTTGGGTTTGTGGTCGACATGACTGAGGAACCTCATGACTCACCAACGCCTGTGCTCTTTTCGCAGCAAATGCACCATTCCATGCTGCATTGTACATCGCCTCTTGTTCAATCTCTTCTCCGCGAAGGAACTTGGCCTGGTATAAGTGTCTCTTTTTCCTCCTGTGGCATCTTGATTTTTCCAATCCTCTATATATATATAATATAGCCTGCTGTACCGGACTGCACGGCGGCCATTGCTACCGTTGCTACCTCTACCATGCCTTTTGATCCGTTCTGTTGCTGACAATGTCCTTACATCATGTTAAGTTCAAGATCTCCTTTGGTTCTACGTTTCCTCAATGCCAAATGACGAGCCCTACATCTGAGTCATGTTTGCACGGCATCAGCCTAAACGCTGAACCGCAGGAAGAACAATGGATGTTTTTTGTATATGGCATATGAAGTGTTCTTCTTTGTTGACAAAGTGAGCATTGCTCAAAACCTCTCGAGAATTTGTTCTAATGGGCCCCTCTTTCGCAAGTTCCTTTCGCAACACTTTCGCGGCTTACGTTTTGGTTTTCGCGCGCTGCTTTCTGCGCAAGAGCACTTTCACAAGTTTTCGTGGACGGAACTGATTTCGCACGCTTGCGCAAGCTTTCGCAAGCTGTCCAGAGCTTTCGCAAGCTTTCGCCAATGAAAAGTTCGCACAGTCGTTCGCGACACTTTCGCGACTGCATGTTTTGCTTTCGCGAGGCATAGTACATCAACCTCTCCCCAAATTGTTATTTGGCAGGTCAGAGCCGGATTCGGAAACTAATCTGGCGGATTCTGAAACTAGGGTTCTGAAACTGGGGGTTTGAAACTAAGGTTCTGAAACTTGGATTCTGAAACTGGTATTCTGAAACTGGGGTTCTGACACTAGGATTCTGAAACTGGGGTTCTGACACTGGAAAGTCAGATTCTGCAACTGGCATTCTGAAACTGGTATTCTGCGACTGGTGATCTCCACATCACGCGATAGCGTGTGCCTGTGACTTCACCTTCGAAGCGCATCCAAACCAACGTCATTAGCCCCCCACCCAACCCCCCCACCCCCCCAACCCCCCCTTGATCTCGACATCACGCCAACCCCCTCATCATTCACAAAAGTTGCGGAGTCCTAGTGAGGGAATCCACAATTTTGCGGAATCCTAGTTGCGGAACGCCAGTTGCAGAATCCCAGTTGCAGAATCCTAGTTGAGGAATCCTAGTTGTGGAATCCTGACAGTTGCGGAATCCTAGTTTCGGAATTCTAGCTGTGGAATTCTAGTTGCGGAACCCTAGTTGCGGAATCCCAGTTGCGGAATCCTAGTTCCGGAATCCTGCGCAGTTGCGGAACTCGACTTTATCCTTATTTGGGAAGTCTTGGCCGCTGCTCAAGTGACAAATCAAATCCTTAAAGGTCGGTCAACAACTGGAAAGGAAAATACTAGGAAAATCTATAGGAAAAAAAACATACCAAAGCGAACGTTGAATGGCATCCCAGAAGTGTGCATGTGTTGTTGGCATCATAGACCTCATTGATCAAGAGCTGCAGGAGCTCGCTCCCTGCTTTTCCCGGCCTCTCCGCACACTCTCCTTGAGGCGTGCCTGCAAAGACCTGGTGTTCGCCGGACATAGGGACGGTCACGCAGCCATTCATGAACAAAAAAAGGAGCATCTTTCGAAGGCTTTTGGAGTGCCCTGTTGGGTCCTAGGATCCTTGTCGTCCTGAACACAAATGAACGCAAACATCGAACGAGTGCCCCTTCTCGAGGAAATGGTCTTGAGAAGGTCCTTGGTCCGGCGAATGACCAGGCGCCTGAGAAAGCTCCGCTCCTCTTCAGTCAGGAAGGGTGAAGCTACCAGGTCCTGGGCACACACCGACCTCCAAGTCGACAAGGTCTCCTCTCTTCCACCCACCGACATTTGTTGCTTTCTCTGCTAGACTCCAAGCCCAAAGGTTTGTGCTTCAGGCTGAACAAAACAGGGCCAATAAGGAGTTGTGAGACTGTCTATCAACTCTGCTGTCCAATCTCCCCACCTCGGCTGAGCGGAGGGTTTTCCTGAGCTCATCGGGGCCTCAGCACCAAGCAATCAGGGGTGGCCACAGGATGGTTCGGATGTGCAAGGTTCCTCATTGTTACCACCTACCCTCAGGACCCTCAGTACCCTCCGGACCCTCCGCACCCTGGTTCAACCCCAAAAATGTACCACTGTGGCCTGTGGCTCCCAGACTCCTCGAACTCCATGGCAAGACGATGTTCCACAAGGACTCCTGGCGAAAAGCTGCTGTGGTTCTACAGGCTTGGAGGTGAAGCAGGACAAGTGCGACAGATTTCGATCCAAGAAAGAAATGGAAAGGAAATGAAGGGAAGAAAGCGACAAACATCTAAAAGGTCCAACCAAGAAAAACACTGATGAAAAAAACAAAAAACAAGAACGCCATAATCCCAACACTATTAGCACAACAATAAACATAACATAATACGCCCCCTCCCCCCAAAAAAAGCAACGCTTGAATTCTGCGCCTCTTCCCGGCCCAAAAACGGCGCCTTGGCCGAGTTCCGCAACTCTTGGTCTTCCAGGGCTTCGCGGAGCACCCGCTTCGCCTGCTTCGGTGAGACCCACTTAATTCAGCGAACCCCTCGTCCAACAGCGACGTTTGAACCACGACTGCGTGGGCATGCGAACATCTAATTAGGTCTTTTTGTCATCCATCCAGCATGTGTTTCGCCATGCGATTCATCGATTTTTTGGAAGGTCCCTGTATTTTGACCAAAAACAGTCACCAATCACACCCAAACACACCCACATCTTCTAATGGGCAAATGCCATCCCGGCCCGTCTTCTTTTTCCACCTCGCCTCATCGATGGTCTTCTCGTCCGATAGCACTCGGTTCACCACCTCAACTGTTCGTGAAGCCCGAAGAACGCTAAATCGGAGCAGTCGGAACGCCTGCGTAGTCAAAGAAACAAATACTGCAATAGTGAGTATATCTCAAACGGAAAAAAGTAGTCTAACACACATTATTGTATGCTCTCAATAGCTTCACTACAAACATGTTATTGAAGAGCAGGCAGTCCACTAAGGGGCACGAAGCTTCAATCCACTACCTATCACTCTGCCTGCACGGCCAGTTGTTGAGCCTCCTCAACCACGGCGTCCATCCTCGGCCGCTGTCAGCGGATGTCAGCGCTCATTGCAACGGATTGCAGAGGATCAAGAGGGTGAGATAAGATGTGTTCAGCGGATGGGAAAATGGAGTTGGGTGAAGGGTGACTTGAGATTAATATTAGCTTTAAAGTTACAAAGTATTAAAATTATTGGTTTCTGGTCGCCAAGTTGACTGCATAAACTTGCCTGACCCGATGCGAATGGCAGTTGGGGCTTCACCTGCTTGACATATATGTGTCTGTGTTCGGTATCCATATTTGATTGCAGAGTGAATCTCAGAGAAAAACCGACTGCGAATCTGAAGAAATACTAACAAAAGCGGGCTTAGGCTTAGGCGCTTACAAACTCCACAAATCCCTAAACAAACGAACGAAGCATCATTCCACTTGGACAAAATATTTGTAGGGCCTTGCTTGTTGAACTCCTTCAGGAAAAGCGATGGGTGTTTAATTGCAACATAGGTATATAACATATATAGGGGTTTCACGTTCGTTTCCTGTTTGTCTGATAGCCGCAAGAAACGGCAGGCCTCTCCTGCCTTTTCTCTTGTTGCTCTGTCTACAGGCAGGCCTCTCCTGCCCTATCTTTTTCCTGGCCTTCCTCGTTCTATTGTTTCTTTTGTGCTTTGCCCGAATTTTTTGTCTTTTCGTATCCTATCCTTTCCTGTCTCTTGCTTGTTGTTTTTCCTTTCCTCGACCAGGCCCCTTTCCTGTGCAGCGAGAGCAAAGGTAAATCCCCACCCTGATGGACAAATCTGCCATAAATTTTGCATATGCCATACATTTGGCATCAATCGTCCCCACGAGCAGGGTTGGATAGGGAATCACTCCTTACAGGAACAGTCCATAAATCAAGAGGACTTGTCATTGTGTTCTATATCCCAATCAACATCCCGAGGGTTTCTTGGCCCTGGTTGAAAAAGAATGCGCGGGCCAAAACACCAAGTGCCCTATAGTTCAGCGCAAGAAGAATGTTGTCATGCATGCAGTCTGCCAGGCTCTTAGTCAATATCGTTGTTCTTGCTGCTCCTGCTGCTGCTGCTGCTGCTGCTGCTGCTGCTGCTGCTGCTGCACCACCACTGTTGGTGGTGCAGCAAGCACCATTGCGGCAGTAAATCAAGAGCGGTCAAGAACATCTGTTTAATCCTCAAGTAACTACTTTATATGTATGATCTACAGTAATTTCTGAGAACCACAAGGCAATCTGGAAGGTTACTCAGGCTAAATGCCTTTTGGATTTTGAACACACTTTTTTGCATCAGAAAAGCGAGATCCACTGGGCCTTATTTGCACGGCCGGACAAGGCATTTTGGGATGTCCACTAGTTTTGAGGAACACCTAGATTGGTTGAGTAGCTGCGCTCATAAAAGCTTGTCAATCACAATCTGAGCAAGTAACTCATGATAACCACATTGTCCATGGTCTAAATTTGCAAGTGTTTTGCAACGAGCTGAAAAACATGGTGAAGTGCGCGAGGTGCAGAAGATGTGCTCAAGAAGATCCACAAGTATGATCTTCCCAATCTCTGTTGGTTCCCCTCTTCCAAAGCATATTGGTTCCCCTGCTGCAGCGCGGTGACCACCAAATCCCGAAAGCCACAGGTGACGTCCTGGCGAAGAGTTCCGCGCTATCTGCAATAAAGGAACACGATGATATGGCTTTCCGGTCGTTGCACGGGTGAAAGATCAAAGAAATTCAAAGAAAATAGACATGAATGACATGAAGAAGAACAGGGACTTGAATCAGAAAAAATGGTGTGAGTGTGAGTCTATCTTACACCGCCATGCACTCATGAACACTATATATCGCTATGCTTGAGGATCAAATCCATACATAGGATATCAAATTCTTGAGACATTGGTCTTCCAAGACGTCAGAACTCATCGAACCCATGTGATGTTGGATGCAGTTGGTTCAATCGATTACAGAGACGAGGAAATTGAACAGACACTCAGACACTCCCTTTCAAGTTGCCCAAACTGATAGCAGTCTCTACAAACTTTGCAAAGAGAGTAATGAGTGCGTGGAAATTATCTCCTTTGCTCTGTTTGGCTCTATTTGAGCTGACATGTTTCTTCAACTGCATGTTGCTGTTATGTTCACGCGTTGTCAGAGAAATGACTTCAAATAGCATCAAATAGCCTTTCGGAATCAACAACTGAACCCCTTAGGAAATCCAGCAAATATTGACCCCTTCACTCACGGGATGCAAGCCCTGATGTCCCTTCAGGTCGGATTCGACCGAGATTTTCGCACTTTGTCCCTACTATCATGATACTACCTCACATTTACTTAAGGATTTAGATCGTACATGGTTGCCTCGCTTGTCCTTAAACTGGATCGATTCGCTCAACTCAACTCATTCTTTTCTCCCAAAACTCGCAAGTTTGTCCGGCTCAAACAAAACGCCTCTCGCATCACCAGATCGTAGGCCCACAATGCAGCTGCATCGCGGGAGGACTGGCGCCCGGACATGGAGGAACAGGGGAGGGGAAACATGTGGCCTATGTATGCCTATGTAAGCTACTAGGAACAAGTGCATCGCTACTAGTAACAAGTGCCTTACT